TCCATTATTTGTAGCGTCGCTTAATAACCATTCTGGGGGAAAATAAAGAAAAGTGTTAGAAAAAAAGGCTGGCAAAAAACAATTGCATTCTTGCCATTGATTACGTTAGCCTGTCGTGGTCTCTGTCTAGCCGTCCTGCTCGTTCGCATTCCGATGGCCTTAGTCAGTTTCGCCTTTATGGCAAGAGAAATAAGTTCAATGACACAAAAATAATACAGAATAACAATAAGATATAATATCTTTGGCTCATTGTTCGTTCGCCTTGGCTGGCAAACACGCCCCGTCTACGAGAGGGATGGCTGGCTGGCTGGCCGAACTCAGCCATTATTTGCATCTTTCACTTTTCAACTCTTTGGGGGTTCGTCCCTGTGAATAGACTATATTGAATGTGGGGCAGCTCTCTCTCTCTCTCTCTCTCTCTTTCTCTTTCGTTCTGTATATATATGTGTATCCCTCTCGTTTGACCGCATAAAATCGATGATGACAGGCCTTCGTCCCACTACCACCTTTATTGTTCGCAATGCTGTGTGCATCAAGTTCAGAGCCCAAAAACTAATGCCATTTTATTGTTCTGCTGTCGACAGACAGACAGCGAGACAGACCATCCTAACTATTCTCATTCCCATTCCGAATCAGATTCCGATTCCGATTCCGACCCGACCCGACCGACTTTCACTTTTAGCCAGCCGGTACAGAATGGGGCATGAAGAATGGAAGCCACCGACAATCAAGGCGAGCGAATGACTGACTGACTGACTGAATGAATGAATGAATGAATGCGGTACTCATCAACACGTTCGCAATTTCAATGGCCAGAACTTCGCGCTTATCATCATCATGCAATCACAGGATATACACACATATATAGAGCCTTTTGTCTCCCTGTGGCAGGATTTCAAAAGCTAGACGACGACGTCGACGAGCTGAACAACCTGTTGCCAAATAGCCATACACATGCTAGCAAATACACATGCGAGAACGACCTGAACTTCGCCAGGGAATGCAATTTTCAACAACGTCATCATCATCATCACTATACCCATATAGCCCATCATCATCTGTAGCAACAACAGGGCCTTTCCATAGCCACAACGCATATAATACATTCAACAAACAATTGAAATTTCGTATACAATTGCGAATTGAATGAGGAAATGAATGTGTAAAATGAATAAGTCTGAATAGCGTCTGTCTCTGTGTCGGTGTTTGTGTTGGTGTCGGTGTCTGTGTCTGTGTTGGTGTCTGTGCTAGTGTATGAGTGCGCCTCTCTTTCGCACACTGGCCCTATCTCGCTTGCTCCTTATGGCTGTGTGTATGGGTTCGTCTACAAGTGTCGAGACGGGTCGTATACGTAATATACGTTTTTCTGCACTTGTTTTTGTTCTCGGCCCCAGTGAGTGTTTGCAGATTTTTAGTTTTTTTTTTTTACATTTTTCCTCTCTGTTCTTTTTTGTTGCCACTTTCTTTTTCGGGCGTTGTTAAACGGATAAACTCGTAAAACAGTTGCCGGCAAAGTTGCAAGAGCAAAGCATTTAGGGAACATTCAGATCCGAGTTTAGAGTCAACATGGAGGCGGGAAAAGAGAGGAGCAGCGAGGACGAGTTGCGCAGAATGTGCCAGCAAGGAGTGGCCCAAAGTTTTTGGCCAACAAAACAGATGCAAAATGGGCTATATCAGAAGGAAGGGATATTGATAGCCCTCGAAGAACTTTCGATCGGGGTCAATAAGGGACAGGAATGTACGTTTTTTAGTTTATTTTTTGTTATTATAATGAGTCTAAAAATGTTGCCTATAAATGAACTCAAACTAAGACACTTAATTTATGTTTCTCTTTATTTTCTAATAAATTTTGAACTTATTTTTAATATTATGTTTGAGTTCTTTCTAATGGTAAACTATTACGAGAACCATAATGTCTCCCTCTTTAAAAATAATCAAGATTTATGGTACAACTTTTTTAGAGTCCACCAAGACTTTGGCAAATAATAAATTAATATTAATATTACTTCATTCACTTTGTCTTAAGATGACATTCATACCTTTCAGCATACACTAAGTTATCCCTATTAAAGACGAATTAAAAGCAAAGATAACCAGAATTCTTAGTCTTAAGATTTGTTTAAATCTCTAAAAAAGAGAATATTTACCTAATTTATTGTTTCTTCAAAGTAAGATCTTTGTTATTTGATTTTTTAAATATTTTGTTTACCTTTCTACAAAAAAAATCTATAGAAATTATGTCATTAATAATTTGTTAACGTTTTTTGGCAAATTCTCAAACGGATATACTCGCAATGGATTTATTCAGATTTGCTCAACTTGTTTGCTAGCCAATTCTGTCTTTTGTTGTTGCTGGCAGTGCTCCTCTTGTTGCCATTTTGCCATTGTCCGCTGCGTTTTTATTTCTTCTTTTATTATGTACGAATGTTTGCCTGTTTGTTTGTTTGTTTGTTTCTGCAATCCTCTCCCGCCCATTGTATTTTTCTGCTTTATTTCCCAGTGGTGTGTATGTGTATGTGAGAGAGTATTTTCATTTGTATTTTTTGTGTGTGAACAATTAAAACTCTTTACAATGACCTTGACTTTGTTTTTTGTATGGCTGGCTCATGGCTTCTGCGAGTGTTTGTGAGTGAGCTTCCTTTTCATTCACACGCGCCCAGCACGCTCAAACGTCAAACATAAAACATAAAACACAAATGCCAGCCAACAAAGCCGTCTGAGTGTCTACTCGTCGTTCATTCTGAATCCGAATCGGAATCGGAATCGGAATCTGAATACGAATCGTAGTCTCAGTCTGGGTTTGGTCTGGTTTCAGTTTGGTTTTTGGCTTTATGTTTTCGGTTTTTCCAGCAAAAGGCTTTCTGAAGAGCAACAGTCTTGCTGGGCCATCAAAAGAATCGATACCTCGTAGTACTCACACACAATGGCAACACTCACACACACACAAACAAACAGGCGGGGCAAGTACATTGATAATGAACCGAGGGAATTGTTTATTTCTTCTTTTTCCCCGCTGCTGCTGCTGCTGCTGCTGTTGCATTTGTATTTGAAATTACACAATAGCTCAAGTAGAATCAACAACGACTTTGACTTATTCCTCTCTCCTTTGGCCAACTTTTTGCGGTTAAGATTTGCGTTCTGCTTTTTTGGGTTTTTTGGTATATTTTTGTTGTAGGTCAGTTACTGGGGCAGGTTTCTGGCATTGTTTGCTTTTATTATTATTATTTTTATGCCTGTTACCCCTCTGTTTGCGCTTCATTGTCAAGCGATTTGCAATTGGCCATAAATTCATTAAGCAGCCGAGCCCACATATCGGCCTTTGTTTACTTTATACATTTTTAATGGGTTAGTAGTTCGCTTGAAGTGCTTGATGACTTAGCAGGATGTAAGGTGAAGATGCTTTAAGAATGTAACAAAGGAAATTTGGAAGTTTTAAATGGGGAAGAAAAGTATTTATTATTTATTTTGTGGTTGGTTTTGTTATTTAAATATTTTGAGGATTTATAATTCAGTTTATTTGGCCAAAAGAAGAAACTACAAGAAATGTTAAATTCTTCCTTAAGTAAGTTGATGAAGAATGGAAATAACTTTATGCAAAATGTCAACTTTGATGTAATAAACAAAATGGTAAAATGTAGCCTAAAAGTTGTATAATATTTTATGTTTACGTTTTACACTCTCATATCCATTAAAATATCTCCAAAAAATAAGTAATTAGTTGAGAAAAATGAAAGTTTAAATAATTTAAAAATATATTTTAATAAATAAAAAACAGTTTTCAGTTTTCATAACTTAAAAGCACAGAATCTGAGTATTTAAGTAGTATTCTTCGACTTAAAAACCCCTTCAAGACCTCGTTACTTCACCCAAAGAAGCCCTTCGAAGGTGTATTAATCGCACATTAATCGCCTGCCACCTGCATGCCAAGGCAGTGAGTAGTTTCAGCCAGCTGAGCACTGGAATCCAATCACTTTGCGTTTGCTGAAAGTCGAACAAAACACGCGCCGAGTCGAGATTTACTCATGGGCAAGCCGAAAAGAGGAAAACCAGCTAAAAAAAATGCATTAATCGAGGGGAAGGTAAATTAAATGGGGGCCAGGCTGGAGAAGCAGATGCCCTAAGACAATGGCAGAGGAGCGGGCCAGCTCATGTGGTGGTGGTGATACCATACATGTGAGCGGATGCCAAACCGCATCAAAGTTCTCAGATACAAGATACATTTGCAGTTGCCAGCTGCAGTGCACTTGCTTAATAAATTTTTCCATCTGCCGGCTTATTCGTCAGTTACCTTGGCAAACCCATTAGGTTAATAAGAAGCGCAGCACAAGACGCAGAGAGACTATATATATATATATATTTTTTTTATATATACCGGAGATGGGGCCCCAAAAAAAGAGGAAAAACCAGCAAAAACTATGCGCGTGAGACGCGCTCTAACGGCGAAAACGCCGCAAACACTAAGGCCCCTGGGTCCCTGGGATCCCTGGACTGGGCTGTTGGACTCCTCACTCCTCCCGGCCCCCTTGCTACAGCAGCGCATCGGCCATGTTTAAAGCTCGAAATTTATACGAAAAATTCCTCTAGAGTTTCGTTTTGGTTTGGGCAAGGAAAAGCGGCAACAGCGCTTGCCATAAACCCAAAGACGACATTTTTATGGCAGAGTTAAGCGCAGCGCGGATCGATAAAGCGTATAAGCGAGAGAGTATTATCTCTGTACTACTCATACTGTCATTTGATTGGTTCGTAGCTATGCGCAAAATCCAACCCAGCAAGCGCTCACCGCACACGGATACACACAGGCAAAGAAGCGCGTTTATTTGATTTATTAGCAGGAACATAAAACTATATTCGTCCTGCTCATACTTATGGGGTGAGACCTAGAAATGCCGACGCACACTCGTTCAGCGGAGCGCACACAGATACAGCGTACTTGCTCAAGACCAGTTTTTCCAGCCACCCTGTCTGGCGGACCGCGTTTACTGCCGCCTGCTCGAGCGGCCAGCGGCAGACCGTCTCTCATTCGACTCTCGCATTCGCCGTCGTCAGCACACGCGCACGCAACGCAGCAACGCAGCAGCAACATCAAGCACGCCACCAGCAACTCGGTTGTTCGTTGTTTCGGTTTCGTGTCGTATCGTTTCGCATCGCATCGGTTCGTGCCTCGTCATCAGCCCAACAGAACAAAAATAAAAAGAACGAAAAACCAGCAACACACACACACACACATATATATACAAAATACGAAACGAAGAAAAATACAAGCGTATTATAGCCAGGGAAAAAGCAGCGTAGAACGCACCTCGAACAGGTTTCGCCGTCGTCCGGAGAAACAGAAAGGTGCTCAATTCCGCCCAGTGTGGAGGTATTTTTTCGGTGTTCCCGCTTATAAAAATATACAACAAAAATCCAAATAGAATAAAATAATATCAAACAACAACAACAACAACTATAACAACAACAACATTCTGTGGCAAATTCGCGTCGGGTTTTAACAACAATTTTCAAGTGTTTTCGACCGCCTCTTGTTTGTTCGCAAACATAGAAGAATATTTGTGACTGTGGAAAAAACGCAATTCAAGCTGTTTTTTAAGCAACAAATCCAAAGAGATCGCAAAAGTTTTTGATACGAAAGTTGTTATGCAATTCTAAGAGCCAGAGCAGCCACAAACTATAGCCAAAAATCAAACAAATCACAAGTGCAACATGGTTTCCCACAAAATGTTCAAAATGTCTAACTAAGAAAGTTAAAGAGTAATCTAAACTAAAGAGTAACTGCAAGAAAAAGCGACTAACGAGGAGCATCCCTACTAGACCATCTTTAGTGTACCAAAAATCTGATAGCAATTTCCTCAAGATGCTGACCATGGAATCGGATATGAAAGGCAGCCTGCTGCATGCCACCATGCCGCCGCATCATACGAGTGCCGCTCTCCACGGACATGCGGCATCTCCGTACTCGGCTTTGGCTCCCCTAATGAACCTGGGCCAGTCTCACCTGACCCACTCGCAGCTGAGCCATCATAACCACCATCATCATCACATGAGCGCCCACATCGCCGCTAGCCAGAGTCCCAATCCTCTGAGTTCGCTGCAATCCTCGATGGCGAATACCCTCAATGGCAGCCAGGTGGGTCAGCAGCAGCAGCAGCAGCAGCAACAGCAACAGCAGCAGCAGAGTTCGCCGCTGCACAGCTCCAGCGAACTGAGTCCCACCCAGAGCAGCATTGGCAGCCACCACATGACCTCGCCGGTTAGCCACCAGCAGCACACCCAGCAGCAACATTCCCAGCAGCAACATTTGGGCGCCGGATCAGCTTTGAGCAGCCTAACTGGAGGCTCCAACAACAATAACAACAACAGCGCCACGGCCAACAAGAACCAACAGCATGCGGATCGTGTGAAGCGGCCAATGAATGCGTTTCATGGTGTGGTCACGAGGTCAGCGAAGGAAGATGGCCTCGGACAATCCCAAGATGCACAACTCGGAGATCTCGAAGCGTCTGGGTGCCCAGTGGAAGGATCTCTCGGAGTCGGAGAAGCGGCCGTTCATCGATGAGGCCAAGCGGCTGAGGGCTGTGCACATGAAGGAGCATCCGGATTACAAGTACCGGCCACGTCGCAAGACCAAAACCCTGACCAAGACCAAGGAGAAGTATCCAATGGGTGGACTAATGCCCGGTCAGGCGGTGGGCGGTGGAGCGCCGGGTGAACCGGTAACTCCCACGCGAGTGCAAGGTCAACCGGGACAGAATCAATCGTTAAACGGCAGCGGAGGAAGTGCAGCAGCGGCAGCGGCGGCGGCAGCAGCAGCGGCCCAACAGGCGCGCCAGGATATGTACCAGATGAACGCGCCGAACGGATATATGCCCAATGGCTACATGATGCACGCCGATCCGGCCGGAGCCGCCGCCTACCAGACCTCCTACATGGGCCAGCACTATGCGGCGCAGCGGTACGACATGGGGCACATGTACAACAACGGGTATGCGATGTACCAGACGGTGTCTGGGGGACAGACCTCGCCCTATGGCAGTAGTCTGCAGCAGCCGGGATCACCGTCACCGTATGGCGGTAGCAGTCTGCAACAGCAACCGGGCAGTCCAGCTCCCTATGGTGGAGGAGGAGGCGGTGGCGGCCAGGTCTCTTGCCAGAGTCATAGCCCCAGCGACTCGAGCATCAAGTCCGAACCCGTATCGCCCAGTCCCAGTGCCATAGCGCTCAACAACAACAACAACATCAACAACAACCACATCATGAAGCGAGAATACAGCTCAGCGGCAGCGGCAGCAGCAGCAGCAGCAGCGGCAGCAGCCGCCGGCGGCGGAGAGCTGAATCACCTGATGAACATGTACCATCTGCCGGATGAGCAGCGCCACCTGCTGCACTATCAGACTGACTCGCCCGACTTGCAGCAGCAACACCAGGCGATGCAACAGCAGCAGCAACAGCAGCACCTCCCGCAGCAACATCTCCCGCAGCAGCACCAACAGATCCCGCAGCAACACCAGACGATGCAGCAACAGCAGCACCAACACCACCTCCAGCACCAGCAATCGCTGCGGACAATGGCGCCGCTGGCACATATGTGAGAAATGGCCAGCGCCTATGGAGCAGCAGGCTCCAGTGTGAGCGTTTCGCCTCCACTGCCGCCGTACATGCCGACGGCCCAGCAGCAACAACAGCAGCAGCAGCAGCAACAACAACAGCAACAGCAGCAGCAACAGTTGCTAAACGGACGGCCTAGTCCGACGGCATCGGGTTCGTCGGGCGGCCGCTCCTCGGCGCATTCCAGTGGCCATACCGCCGCGCATTCACCCGCCTTGGCAGCCGCCTACCAGCTGACCCCCTCTGCTGCCGCCCCCTCAGCCACTGTTGCTGCAGCTGCAGCGGCGACTGCTGCGGCCGTTGCTGCTGCTGCTGCGGCAGGTAGCTCCTTTGCTGCCTCGGCCAGCATGCTGGACATGCAGCAGCAACATCTCGAGGAGCAGCAGCAACACCACCATCTGCACTACCAGCAGCAGCAGCAGCAACAACATTACCAGCAGCAGCAGCAACATCTCCCGCAGCAGCAGCAGCAACAGCAGCAGCATCAGCTGTACCATCACTATCATCCTGGCCACGAGGCAGCGGTGGCCGCCAGTGCTGGCCTCCTGGATATATCCACATTGTAAATTATTGAAAATATTAACTAAAAGCCCTAGGATACGCACACCCACACACCTACACACACACACACACACACACAGAGAAACAATTTTAGCCTTAGTTCTTAAGCAGGTTTAATGCGAAATTGCAGAGTAACAAACACACACACAAACAAACACACACACATGCATATATAAATAAATGAAAATAGGATTAAAGTTTAGTCATTTAAATGAAGCATACGCACTGTTGTACCACAATGGGAAGACGACAACTCACTTGCATTCCATACTGTTTCAGCCTCGATTTCCCTTTGGTTTTCCCGCTTGCTGCATAGCTAAGACAATTGTGTGATACAAATAAATTGTTGCCAATTAACGGAGACAACAAATCGTTTGATTTACCATTTCATTTTCACCACCACCCCCCGGCCGCCCCACACTTTTTGCTGTACAAAAACCAACACAAACCAAGACATTCTCAGACATTAGAAAACGAAGGCAGCGAAGGAAGAAGATCTGCGGCAGCGTAGGAATAGTAGGGAGTAATGACAAGATTTCAGAAACAAAAAAGCAGAAAAAAAACGCTAAGAAAAATGTCGAAAAACATTCTATTTTATAAATTCTCTTATGCATTAAGTAATTATAATTATTATCTATTATATAAACAATTTAATTATTAATTATGCTTACACGAATACGAGACAAGACAACCATAATTAATTGTAATAAAGCGAAAAACAAAATTATTATTATTATTAAAAGAAAACATCTACTGCATAAAACAAAAACAAAAACCGCAACCAGAAACAAAATGTTAGTAAACCTAAAGCAAATTTAGTAAAAAACAAAAACAAAAAAACCAAGAAGCAGCGTGCAAAACGTGATTGTGAAACATGGAGAGCAAGGCAGTTAAAAAACAAAAACAAATCCAAGCAAAAACATTGCCAAGCACCTGGAAATAAGAAAAACAAAAATCCACAAAAAAACAAATAAAAGAAAAATCTTTACAAAAAAATTTTCGAAATTCTATTTTTTACTCTTTGCCGTCGGCAAAAAAAAAACCAAGGGGAAAACGCTATCTCAGCGAAGGAGGATCCGTGAATTTTGCATAGCCAAGTCGATTTGCAGGTTTAATAAGGTGCCAGACATTCGATATTCCTGTTTTTTTGTGTTTTTATGGCACCTCTCATTGTTAAGTGTTATGCGTAATTCCCAAGACAAAGGCGATTAGAGTAGTAAAACTCAAATGAAATTCACGCATTGTCAACATAAATAAAATGTTAGTGGAAGTCATTAAGCAGACCCCCTGACAAATTAGAACAAAACGTGAAATGAGATTCCCATAAAAATGGTTATATCTGCAGGTTATATACTTTGGGTATAGCAACTTTGTAGGTTTGCATGCCGTAATCTAACATTTCAATATTTATTTAAATGCATTTTGTCAATGATTAAGTGCAGTCTTCGTGACCGGAAGCCAAAGCTTTGTAGCCGACACCGTCCAAGCTAATTCCACTGATCAGGCATCAGCCATCAGGCATCAGTCAAGGTTAAAACACAATTATTAGGAATTTTGATAATATGCACGCTTGCTATATAGAGCCTCTCACCCAGGGTTCAGACCCAGTTTGTCCAATCACTCGACTGGCGGTGAATGGGCCTACAAAATATCCATATAATATCCACTTAATATGGCTAATTTATGCTGGCCAGACCATCACATCTGGCCCACGCGCTATGGGCCCGCTCATAAAAAATTATGATATGTATTATTAATGAAAATTGCAAATTCAGAGCGACAGGGCGGCCCCAGAAAACAAACAAAAACTTCTTTTTTTTCGGCTAGGAAACAATTTATTTATTATGTGCAAACATTATACACTGTTTACTACTCGCTTTTTTGTATGCCATTCGAAAGCTGGTGATTATTATAATTTCAGTAAATGGTTTGGCTTAAAACGAAAGCTGCCGCGGAATTTCAATTAATATATATTTTCAATTTCTCACCACCTTTCCCCTGGCTGCTTCCATTATTTCCACTTTGCAATCAATTAGTGGCAACGATTTTTAATTATCAAATTTTACATCTAAATTATTTTGCGCTTTGAATGCTTAGTTCGGGTCATGAGGTTGATTAAAAATGTTTAACCTTTTCCTTTGGGACTTTAAAATGCCAACTTTATATTTTTCATCTGCTGGAAATAGTTTGCAAACGAGCTCTCCGATTTGCATTTGTCGCAATTTTCATAATATTTACAGCCTCCTCTTATCTCCGATTTTGAGGCCTGGCTTAGTTGTGTTGAAATGCCAGATTGTTCGAGATACATGCATAATTTTCAACTATTTTTTGTTAGTTTTCCTTTTTTTAAGGTTTATTAATGCTATATGGGTGTCATTTGAGCTAAGCTGCAGCCGATACAATCTGCGAGTTCGTTTGACATGCAAATCGTCAGCGGGTTGACCGATCGTTTCACTCTGCTGAGCCTGGCCTGATATTTGATTTGGATTTGTATTTGGATTTATTTCGAAATGTATTTATTTATTTTGTTCTCTTGTCAGGCAGGCAGCTGTGTTGGCTTACTTTTAATTAGCTAAAAATAAAAATTGTTCTTAACTCTCTTGTTCTATGTTCGATTTTATTTTCATTTCGATTTGTGAAACTAATTTTTTGTGGCCCCTGTCATTTGTTGCAATCAGTGAGAAAATTAAACGAAATCCCGATGACAACATTTTTATGGCTACGCCGCTTGCCATTAAAATTAAGAGCTAATCACACGTTTAACAAGATTTTGTATTTTGGTTTTCTGTTTGTTTATTTGTTGGTTTCTGGCTTTATAGTGGGGACAGGTGCTTGGCTTTATTTTTATTTTTTGGCTGCAGCTGAGTCAGCAATCGACGATCGTGAGAGTTTTTCGTTTGGCTTTGTCTTAAATCTTTTGATTTAGTTCATTAATTAGCCATAATAGTTTTGTTTTTTTTTTATAACTGGGTCTATGTCTATTTGGTGAACTTGAAATTAGAAGCTGCCTGCCTGCGTGGTTTAACATCTAAAGATTAAACCAGAAGTTTACCTCTCTGGGTTTTTCCAATCATATAAATCTAGATTCACTCTCCCTTTCTTTCAACCCCCTAACTTGGCCAACAAAAGCTCAGCGAATGCCAGACAGAGACAGGCTGTAGGGATGCTTAGATAGATAGAGTTAAGCAACTAATTAAACTTGAACAATGGCGAAAAGTTGGCAAACAAATGTCATTACTTCGACTTCAGTCTGGGCAGTCTAAGCGGTTGTAGATTTCGAGTGGTTTGTGTTTTCGTTTTGGCCTGGTTGACACATTTCTGGAATGTAGGTTAACCGAGTGAGACATGCAACGAAATCGAGTTGATTCGTAAGCCTAAAACTGTAACCAATTCGGAGACGGGCCTGTTTTTTCCACAATTTTCGTGCTCGATGGCTATAAGTTTCCGAGATGCCAAGTACATAAACAAATCGGATTAGTTGACAAAAATCCAATTAGCTGTGGGTCTCCGCCCCCCACCCCCACAAACTGGCCGTGGAAGCTGGAAAATAAGTCGAGCATTTGATGGATGTGTGGCAGGCGTAAGAATTTATAGAACGGTGATTTGATCGATAGGCACGATGATGATTTACGAGAGGTGTAGGATACAGGTAAAATCTCTGGCTGTACATGCAAAATCTCAGACTGCCTGGCGGCTCCGGGGGTTCTAAGCTGACAGTAGGTCCACCTGCACCGGAAAGTGGGAAAACCCATAACAACAGGCAGGTCAAAGTGCATATACCTGAGCAGGGATAATGAACCTCTAAAATCCACGCCTCGCCAAATCCTAGCCTCAGCGGATGCTCGGAGGATCCGCATTCTCGTTTTTGGGCAATAAAGGGCTAAACAAACAGGCACGACAATAAGTCCCTATAGATCTCAGTGTACATTATCATAATCACCAATAAAACCCTAGTCGCAAACTAATCCACTGCAACCCATTTGGGCCTCTCGGTTGCATTCAGGGATTTGTCGCCCAACTAAGATTGAAGTTTATCTGCATAACACTTGCATACAGTATCTGGATAGTTCTTGGTATTTGATAGTCCTCGGCAGCCACCCGCATTTTCTTGTAGTGTAATTCAATCACAGAACCGAGAGGGGAGAAGGCGTAGAAGAGCCTGCATAAAATGCAACGCAATCTGAATGCCATGGGGCCAGGCCATTGGCTAATCGCTGTCTAATTATAATTTTGCATTTTTATCGCTAAGGGTCTGGGCACTTGGGTGTTCCGTATAGGGGAAGGGGGTAGGGTAACAGCAAGGCCGTTTCTGTTTCGGCTGCGGTTTGCTTTGCAATTAGGCGATTAGTCACGCCCTGATTTGTCATTGATACTCCGTCCGCTCGATTGCTCAGTTTCGGTGAGTGTTATGTGAATGTACTAGATGGCACTGAAGCCCTGTAACTATATAAAACTATGCGGGCTGGCTTAGTGATATAGAATATATGAAGAGGAGTATGGGGGTGGGGGTGAAATATGCAGATAACAAGAAGGGAATATGATATGTGATGGTAGGGAGGAGAGGTCTTTCTGGTCTTACTGGTCTTACTTTGGGAATTTTTATCTTCTCTCTTGGATTTGCTTACTCTGGAAGATCTGTAATCTCTAAGGTTGTTCTATACCATTAGGAAGGCTATAAACTAATCAATTTAAAATGCAGTAAAATATCAAATAATTCTTGTATATTAAAGTCTGATCTGCCTTTAGTTATATGGTATTAACTGCCAAAGCAAGGAGTCCATAGAACTCAAGTGTCATGTTAATGTCCACAAATCATTGGATCTTCCTCATCATAAACCAGTCTAAGGTTAATCTATAACTGAAAGATCTTTCAATAAGGCTAATGAGACATACCTCTGGGTAAAGTATTTAACTCTCTATTAAATCAGCAAGAAAGTCTTAATATCTGTTAGCAGTTTTCATTGCCATCTACTAAATACCAATAAATCTTTATACAAAAGATTTATCTCCTTCCTTCAACTTAAAACCCTTTCAATTCATAACAGCAAATGGCAGAGTATAAAACTTTCAAATTAACCTTATACTACAAAGTTCCCATTCAACTAAGGCCTAACTTAAAATCGTAATAAGTTTAAAGGCAGGACAGGAGAGAGAGAGAGACCGGCAAGAACAACAACTTCGGGCGACAAGAGCAGAGCAACAACGCGATGCACTTGTGTCACTTAATTAAGTCGACGTTTTATTGTCGTCATCGCAGCAGCATCGTCGCTCAAGTTAATTACTCAGAGAAGGTGGCTAAGGAGATGACTTGGGGAGTGGGGAGTGGGGAGTGGCCCAGTCAATCCCCCTAGTAAATCCTTACCTGTGGCAGTGGCACGGCACTACTTTTCAACGGGGCTGCAAGTGAGCATAACAATTCCCCACTCTTCTGCCCAGAATGCAGAGTCCTGAGTCCTGCACTTTGGCGCATTTGTTGATTCGCGCACTTGAACAACGTGATGATGATGATGGACCAGGAGGAAGAGAGAAGTTGAAGGGATTTTGGAGGAACAACAACCAGCAGCAGCAGCGGCAGCAGCTCTTATCTTAATGAGTTTTTATGCATCTAATTAAATAAATTGCACCCTCTTCGGGCCGTTGGCGCCATGACAACTCCCAAGTCTGCACAAATCTCTCACAAACCATTTCTTTTTTTTGCTAGTCATTTGTTGTTGTTGTTGCTGCTTTCTGAGGGCGTGGTCGGTCCGTGCAACTGCCCATGGCCCCATGGTTAAAAAACACACCCACTAACTGAAATTCAATTTTAATTACAATTTTTTACCTCGCTCGCTCGCTTTTTCTCTCTCTCCTCCTTTTCGCCACTCAAATCGATTTTACTAACCAATTTTTTCCACAATTTGTACATGGCCATGTGTGTTTCTATATATATATATATATATATATTTATATATGACTGTGTACTTTTGTGTATATATTTTTAATCAACCGCGCCCAGA